CAGTCTATCCATCTGTCTTCTTGTGTTGCGTTTTTTTGGCTATAATATTGTATATAAAGTTTTGTATAATAATTAGTCATGCATATTGGCTCTTGGCAATTTGTCTAATGTGATACTGTCCATTTGTGTTCATTGTATTGTACATTTGCGTTATTCATCACACAGGATGAGATGTAGAAGATCAGATCATGTGTTCTTTCAAATGTTTGGCTGAATTATGAGTATGTTAGATAACTCCCTAAAGCTGCTATCCTGACTTTAGGGATGGTTGTAAAATGCAGTCTGCCAAAAATCTAGAGTAAAATAAGCTCTTGATGGTTTGCGACTTTTTTGACTAAAAGTTGAAGTAGTAAATGCTTCCAGTGTGTTGCAGTTTTTATATAAAATTTATTTATTTATTTATTGTTCAGAGTTATGGTTATTATGATTTTTGTTTATAATGTTTTTTTTATTTTAATAAAATAATATTTTAAAATCATTTTTTAATTTTTTTGTTAAGATTGATTTTAACTCCCTAAAGCTGCTATCCTGACTTTAGGGATGGTTGTAAAATGCAGTCTGCCAAAAATCTAGAGTAAAATAAGCTCTTGATGCTTTGCGACTTTTTTGACTAAAAGTTGAAGTAGTAAATGCTTCCAGTGTGTTGCAGTTTTTATATAACATTTATTTATTTATTTATTGTTCAGAGTTATGGTTATTATGATTTTTGTTTATAATGTTTTTTTTATTTTAATAAAATAATATTTGAAAAATTTGTTATCATTTTTTAATTTTTTTGTTAAGATTGAGTTTATGATATTATTTTTTATTTTTATATGATATTATGATTTGTTTATATTATTTTTGTTTTTTATTTTTATAGGATATTATGATTTTTATTTTGATAACTATTATGAATGATTATTGAACATTCAAATACAGAGTGCTGAACTGGAAGTTATTGTTACAAAACAGTTTTATCACAGTTTTAGTTTGAGGACACTGGCATTATTGTCTTTTAGCTGTAGACAGATATAAATGTGTAAAATGACTCAACTCAGCTGATAATGACATGCAGGTCACTGCTTATTTAGCCCAATTGTGATATAAGATGCTTGCTTGTTATGAAAATTAAAGGGTAATGGACATTTAAAAACATGCACCAGCACTGATATCTCAGATTGTGGATTATTTGCAGACATTAATGCTGCATCCACAGTTTATCAGATATCTGAGGGGTAGTTTCTCATCAGCTCAGCTGCAGTACAGAAACATCTACTAAAGCATTATTAAACACAGCGTGGCAGAAACCGCTTGGTTGTACATTAGCAGTCTTGAGCAGATTGTGTGTGTCCTGTTGTCCGCCCTCGCTCCCTTCAGAGGGGTCAAGTCTGAGGCTCGGGACTGAGCCAGACATGATATGAGGGTTCAAAGAGAGAGCTCATCCAAAATGAAAACGCTGTTATCATTTACTCCCTCTCATTTCAAACTTATATGACTTGCTTTCTTCTGTGCAACACACTCAAAAATATTTATGCATTTTAATTGCATATAAAATTTCTATCTATTTGAATTACACAGTTTAGACATAAACAATCTAGTATATTTAATGTAATGCATATTTTTCTGTAACAAACTTGATGTGTTTTAAATGGAAAATAGTCAGTTTTTTTATATTTATCATTAATAAATCCAATTTGTTTCAATCTCATACATTAAGTCGAGCAAGATTCATTCTTTTTTATGCATATTTAAACCATGTTTGTACTTTTTAACTGATTAAATTTAATTGTTTTCACAATTAACAGATTTATGCTGATGCAGTTTGAATAAACTATGCCATACTATGCCATGATTATTTATTTACTTTAATTTTTGTGTGCAAAAAGCAAATTTTTTAAAGTTGTATTTGAGTTTATAACTACATGATTTTATTTTTTATTCATATTTAAGTGAATTATTCCTTAAAGGGGTCATGTGATGTGATTTAAATTTTTCCTTTCTCTTTGGAGTGCTACAAGCTCTTGGTGCATAAAGAAGATCTGTAAAGTTGCAAAGACTAAAGTCTCAAATCCAAAGAGATATTCTTTATAAAAGTTAAGAGTCAGCCACGCCTACCTACAACGGCTCGTTCTAACATGCACCCACATATGTATGTCATTATGTGGGAAGATTTGCATAACGCCGCCCAAATGTTCACGCAAAGAAAAAAGGCACAACTTTTATTCTCACTGTAGTATTGTTGTTGCCACCATGTCGTGAAGACGCTGTGTGCTTCGTTGTGAAAGCGAAACTACTTTGTTTCGGAGTCTAGCCCGGGGTCGTCACATGTGGTTGCCGCAAGCCCGCCGGCCGCTCCTTCGTCGAATCCGCCGCCTCTGCTCACTCTAGCCGCCGTGTGTGACGCTGTGTTTCGTTGTGAAAGCGAAACTACTTTTTGAAACTACTTTTTCCATGGATGTTAAAGGTTCTTTATGGACCCATCAATGCCGATACGAGAGTGTTAAGTTGATACAGAGTCTAATGCCAAATTTACCTTGCAAAGGTGCGCTTCTGAAATGGCATTTAGGTGTCTTTACACAGCCTTTGCCCAAAAATCCAAAAGGATTCTAATAAGAAAAATGTTTTATTTAGAATTTCTATTATAATTTGGAACCATTCCAATTAGATTCTTATAGGACTTGAGATTCCTTTTTTACTGGGATTATTGGCATCCTATTTAAATCTCTTTTGTGTACATTGTCTCAGTAAACAAGCTGCTGCAAAGAAAATGAACAAGATAACAAAATCCTTTGTACAGAAAGCATGAAGGTCCACCCATAAAACCAAACCATCACTGGGACATAAGCAGATTGTATGAAAATCTACAAATGAGATCAATGAGAGTTTGACATATATATATTTTTTTTTTTTTACTGCATCCATTGGCGTCCTATTTAAATCGTTCTCTTTTACGTACATTGTCTCAGTAAACAAGCTGCTGCAAAGAAAATGAACAAGATAACAAAATCCTTTGTACAGAAAGCATGAAGGTCCACCCATAAAACCAAACCATCACTGGGACATAAGCAGATTGTATGAAAATCTACAAATGAGATCAATGAATTAGCCACCAATTTGGCAAGACGTAAACTAGTTAGGAATTGTCATGAGATTTTGTAGTATCACATTGTGTATCACATTGAAGTCTATTGGAATCAGTTGGGTCAAGCACTTTTTGTGTTGAATCACCCTTGAGAAAAACACTTCTTTGAGGACATTGCACATGTGAAGCAGTGTACGCTGCAGTAACAGCGCTGTGTGTGTGTGTGTGTGTGTGTGTGTGTGTGTGGTGATAAATAACGCTCCTAAAGATTATATCTGTAGTGCTTGAGTTTCACTTGAGCTTTAAACTCGGGTGGGCTGCAGCCTGCAAGATATATTACACTATTCCTGGACCACAAGGACACCTTGCATGCATTGAACGTGAGATGTAGCGCTGATTTTGTGTGCAATAAATACCGAATGTTTCCTGTCATACACTGTGAGCATTTCAAGTCGACATGAAATCAAAACTGATGGTGTATACTTTAATATATGTTTGGCTCTTTTTGCTTGTGATTCATCAGGGCATGTTATACTAAAGAAAAAATGTTTGCAACTTAAGCAACTTTCTATTTTAGCTTAGATGTGTTTAAAACACATGGATTATTTACTGTTCAAAATTTGGGGTTGGTAAGATTTTGAATGTTTTTGAAAGAAGACACTTCTGCTCACAAAGCAGCATTTATTGATCGGAAATGCAGTAAAAATTGTATATTGTCAAATATTATTCAAGGTAACTCTTTTCTGTTTGAATATGCAGTCTGTCACATGATCCTTCAGAAATCATTCTAATATGCTGATCCACATTGAGGGGCAAATGAACGGGGCCATGTACTGTAAAATCTTGGACGAGAACCTCAGCCAGGACACTGAAGATGGGTCATGGATGGGTCTTCCAGCATGACAATGACCCGAAACATACCGCCAAGGCAACAAAGGAGTGGCTCAAGAAGAAGCTCATTAAGGTCATGGAGTGGCCTAGCCAGTCTCCAGACCTCAATCCTGTAGAAAATCTGTGGAGGGAGCTGAAACTTCCAGCTGCCAAACGACAGCCAAGAAACCGTAAGGATTTAGAGAGGATCTGTAAAGAGGAGTGGATCAAAATCCCTCCTGAGATGTGTGCAAACCTGGTGACCAACTACAAGAAACGTCTTACCTCTGTGCTTGCCAACAAGGGTTTCTGCACCAAATACTGATCAAATACTTATTTCACTCACTGAAATGCAAATCAATCTATTATAATCTATTATAATCAATCAAGCTATTAAAACAGCTGTTGTCTTTTTCCAGTAACAATTTATTTATTTTCAATTAAAAACAAAAAAATTGAATGGTAAAATAAAAAGTTTTTTGTCAGATTGTACTGTTCTGATGAAATATTGTTTTAGAGACAAATAAACACATTTATAATGATATTACTCTGTTTTATAGCTTCTATTCGGTTAGTTTATTGTGTTTTGTTAGTTGCTTGTAAGTAGCTTGACTGTACCTTGACAAACTCCAGTTTCCCAAAACTTTAGTAGCCCTAATAAGTCAAATTGCTTCGAGAAGCTTGATTTGAGTGTTGTTCACTTTGAATGTGATTTCTCCAGCTGCATGATTTCTTTTCTCTTGGTTTGTTCCTGATCACTCACGATTTACAGCATTAGATCAGTTGAGTTGCTTTGAATGCGGGTGAGTTTTCATTTCGCTCAGCTGCTCATTTTTTCCATTGTACCGGTGCACACCACGGCAGTGTGTTTCATTACTGTGTGTTGCTGGAGAGAGTTGTGTATGTGTTCATGTTTGTGGCAGCGCATGCTTATAAATGTGTATGACCGAATGTGGATGGATTGTGGATCTGTGGCTGTTTGATATGGAGAGGTTTGTGTGTGTGTGTGTGTGTGTGTGTGTGTGTGTGTGTTTCGGGGGAGTGACTGTCCTGTGGCTTCCTCCAGGCGTCGCGGCGAGAGTTCAGAGCACACCTGGATGAGGTCATCACACTCAAGTCAAGGTACTCTACCTTGGACCAGGTAAAGAGCTCATCTTCAATTATAGTTTGAGACTTAATTCAGCCTGTAAACATGACTTTAGTACCGACAGCTACTGAAGCAGCTCAAATACAGGACAAATCCATTTTGAACACAAACCTACAAAGATAACAGACTTACTATCATCTTCCAGTTATCATGGCACTACAGAACAGGTATCAGTGGGTTTTGTCTGTGTGATATGGAGAGGTTTGTGTGTGTGTGTGTGTGTGTGTGTGTGTGTGTGTGTTTCGGGGGAGTGACTGTCCTGTGGCTTCCTCCAGGCGTCGCGGCGAGAGTTCAGAGCACACCTGGATGAGGTCATCACACTCAAGTCAAGGTACTCTACCTTGGACCAGGTAAAGAGCTCATCTTCAATTATAGTTTGAGACTTAATTCAGCCTGTAAACATGACTTTAGTACCGACAGCTACTGAAGCAGCTCAAATACAGGACAAATCCATTTTGAACACAAACCTACAAAGATAACAGACTTACTATCATCTTCCAGTTATCATGGCACTACAGAACAGGTATCAGTGGGTTTAAATATTTAGTTTAGTTAATAAGTTAAGCCAAACCACTGTGTGGTTAGCATTATTTCTTTAAGCATATAAACTTAGCAACATTTACCATCCTAACTACAATTTCCACCAAAAAAAATCTATTCTATAAAAAAATTGGTGTAGAACTCACAAATTTCACAAACTGTTACAAAGAAATGACAAGTAACTGTCAACTTTTAAATTTTAAAGTAGAAAAACTTAAATTTTTTTTTTTCTTGTAAAACATACTGCAATAATGTTTATTAACGACTTCAAAAATCAATTTTTTTTACAGTGTTGGTATTAGGAACCAGTATGTTAATCAAATAATACAAATAATATAGAAGGTGAAAGCTTAATATTTACATCATGTCCTAACAAAGTGCAATGCATTAAGTTTTCCATGACAATTTTTCTGTATACAAGCAAAAATGTTTTAAAACAAAATAAAATAAGCAAAATAAAATATTTTAAAATATATTTTAGAATACACAAAAAATGGCCAAAAATATATTTGTTAAAATACGTTTCAAAATATAGTTACGTAAATATATATACATATGAATATACATTTGAATAAAGATGATCAGAGTACATTTAGTTAAATACTATTTCAGTCTTTCTACTATCAAAATTTCACATTGAAATCAATGTCGTGTTGTATGACACCATCAACACTTTATGTTCTATTTGCTGACATTTTAATCCAAAGCGACTTATAACCAAAATGATTTTGCTCACATTCACCTCCATTTTTTGTTTTACTCACGTGTGATGTTGTTTGTGTCGAGGATTTAACAGTGTGTTTGCAGAAGTATGTGTGCTGGAGTTATTTTAGTATCAATAATATATATAGTATAGTAGTTTTTGTAATATTTGGAATTAGATTTTTTTTTTTGCATATTTTCTGTTTTCACTTTAATTTTAGTTAAAATTTTACTACATTTGTTGTGTGCTTTTGTCAGTTTTATAAATTTTTAAATATGTCTATATAGTTTTTATTATTTTTTTATTTATTAGTTTTAATTTATTTAGCTTTGGTTATTTTAGTACTTCAAGTTAGTGAGAAATGCTAATATTTTATTTTATTTCAGTTTATTTTTTTCCAAGTAACAATAATGTATTTTTTAATGGTTTTAGTTTTAGATATAATTAGATAGATATAACGATACTAATCCTGACTTCAATGAAAAACACATCCCTGTTCCAAAGTTCTGTTCCAAATCCTAGTGAGCTCCCTACATAGACAGCAGTCTTCTAAGACAGTGTGCTAAAAGTGACTGACTTGAGACACTACATATTTATAAACATCAACTCCACAGAGTTTTGAATGGCATAAGAGTTGTTGCAGTGGAGTGAGCACGTATGAATGAAAGCACATGCTTGTGAGTTAATGTAATTTCCCATGATGCCTCTGCACTTCAAGAGTGTGTTGAGTTTAGCTTCACACTTTTTTGTTCAAGATTTTCACCCCATCACTGTCTTCATTTACAGTACAAGCTCCATCATATGGTTTTGTCTTATAAATGACACCAGCAGTATAGATTCTGGAACCATCACTAATACAACTAACCCACACACACTCCACTTTTATTACATATACTCTTAAAGATAAAGGGTGTTTTCACAGTGATGCCATAGAAGAACCATTATTTGTTCCCCAAAGAACAAATAATGAACCTTTTGTGGAATGGAAAGATTCCATGGATGTTCAAGATTCTTCATTGAACCATCAATGCCAATAAAGAACCTAGATTTTTAAGAGTGATTAATGGACATTAAGGATTTGTCATGTTTTTGTGAATATCTGTATTCATTCCACTTCCATCCACCAAACAGGGATGTCAAGCACAAATAATTCCATGAACTTCTGAAGTTATGAAATTTGTTATCAAGAATAAGACCATAAAGTTAAATATTTTTAAACACCTGATACCAAAATGCTCTCTCTTTTTTTTTTCTTTTCAATTACTGATTGCTCAAAAACAACATGAGCTGAAAGATGATTTATCAGCTATCATGTGACATCACAAAAAGAATAAATCATCTTCTAGGCGATTTCTTGTAAACCCATTGCAAATGAGGTCAGTTTTGTATTAATTAGTCCACATCTAGGATATTTAATGAGGGAATTGTTTGATGAACTGATATCCCAGTGCTTTTAGAGTTGATGTAATGAAAGTCTTATTTAGTGTGATTTAATTACTAGTTTCATTTTAATATGATAGTTATGATAGAGATGTCATAATTGGTCTGTATGAAGGTGTGTGTGTGTGTGTGTGTGTGTGTGGGAGAGAGAGAGAGAGAGCATCCTTCTCTCTGCTTATAATGTCTGTCCATTGATCTCTGATTTTGTTGTTTTGATGCCTCGGTTTCTCTGTTTGTATCTTCCTCTGAGTGCACTTTAAAGTCAGCATTAAATCAAAATGAACTCTATTTACTACTTAATACATGTTCCTGCAATTGCAGTTATTAAAGTGGATGGCGCATGATGTTGACTTTAAACTGTTTTTGTCTGACTGGCTATATAGTTATCTATAAAGCATAACTTTAAAGGAATAGTTCACCCAAAAATGAAGATTTGCTGACAATATACTTACTCTTAGGTTATTCAATTTGTAGATGAGTTTGTTTCTTCATCAGATTTGGATAAATGTAGCATTGCATCAGTGTCTCAGCAATGGATGCTCTGCGGTGAATGGGTGCCGTCAGAATGAGAGTCCAAACAGCTGATAAAAACATCACAATAATCCACAAGTAATACACACCACTCCAGTCCATCCTTTAACATCTTGTGAAGCAAAAAGAAACAAATCCATCATTTAGACATTTTTAACCATTGCTTCCGGCTAAAATATGAGGCCATAATCCATAATAACGCTTCCTACTCAGATCTGCACAGATCAAGCGTCGTTTACAAGCCAAAACAGTCCAAAAGAGCTCTAAACAATTGTGTGGGTGGATTTTGAAGTGAGAGACAACAGGAGATGGACTTTTTAAAGCATTATTGTGGATTATGGACTCAGAAGTAATGCTTTGAAAGTAAAAATGTCTTAGTGATGGATTTGTTTCTTGCAAACACGCAGCTTTTGGCTTCTCAAGACATTAACTGATGGACTGGAGTGGTGTGGATTACTTGTGGAATATTGTGATGTTTTTATCAGCTGTTTGGACACTCATTCTGACGGCACCCATTCACTGCAGAGCATCCATTGGTGAGACACTGATGCAATGCTACATTTCTCCAAATCTGATGAAGAAACAAACATCCTAATCTTGGATGGCGTGAGCATAATTTTCATTTTTGGGGGAACTATTCCTTAAAGATGTCTGTGTGTGTGTGTGTTATTCATATTTTAACTTCTATTATTCTTGGTGATTTAAATGTAATTGCAAATTAAATGTTCAGTAACAACCTCTAGTTCTTATGACACCTGAAAGTTTTCTCTCTGTCTGTCTGTCGCTGTATCTTTGAGTTGCCTGCCGCTCTGTTTTCTGTTGGACTGTTTCTTCTGTTGCTTGTAACTGATGGACTGATGACTTTATCTCCGTAAGCTCCAGTGTAGGTTGGAGGTGCTTAAAGATGATCGCCGTGGCCATAGGACCTTCAGTTCTCGAGTAACTATCCCAGAACCATCAGCCCTTCACATGCCAAACTCTCTCTTTGTCTTCTTCTTATTATTATTTGCTTTTGTGTCTTTCTTTTAGCATCTTATTTTGCTTTTCTTTTTGTATATTTTGAATATGATATGATACACGATTTAATTATGATATGTATGAATATTTCATTTCAAGACTAGGATACTTAAATGTGAGCTTTATTTTCAAATGTTTTACCTTTTTAAGTCATTGTTGTTGCCATTTTTTGTCATTCTTTTGCTATTGTGATTTCTAAAATTGGCATTGTATGAGAAGAGTACAAAATTATTGTTTTATTTCATTTTTTAAATCAATGCAAGTAATGCAATGCAAGGCTTTTTTTGTAGAATTTGAACTATTAATCAAACTACATACAATACGCTCTAAATAAAAGATTTGTGTATTTAAATTGCATGGAAATTTCCATCCTTTTATATTACACAGTTTTAAAACAAACAAACTAATAAGCTAGAAGTGATGCATAATTGTCAGTCACATAAATGAAACGGTTAGATTTCTGCACTCAAATAAATAAATCAGGTCTATATATTATTCACTATTTTATTTTATTTTACATAAATACAATTCAGTCATATATAAATGAAACTGGTAATATTTCTGCCATCAAATAAAATAATAATAATAATAATAATAAATAAATAAAAAAAGAAATCAGGTCATATGTTTTTTATTTGTTTTTATTTTAAGACCATAAATACATTTTAATATTATTATCAGTTATACATAAATGAAACTGGTAAGATTTCTGGACTCAAAAAGTCATAGTTTATTTCATTTTATTTAAATGATATTTTCATACAATTAAATGTATTAAGTTAAAAAGCATGAACATGGTTACAATATGACTAGCTGTGAAACAAGCAATATTCAATTAGTTCAAATGTATGAAACTGAAACAAATTGGATGTATTAATAAATAATAAATGAATAAATATATAACCCTGATTATTGTATATTTAAAAAGTATTTAGTTAATTAGTACTATTACAGAAATCTCACCTGTTTCATTTATGTATGACTGACAAATATGCATTACAATAAGTTTATTATACTAAAACTGTAATCCAGATGGATGCAAATTGTATATGCAATATTCAAATACATAAATCTCAGATATTGTAAATATTTATTTGAGCATATTATCTGACATAAAAATGGTTATGGCATGAAAGCCACCATGTTAATAGCATAAAATGATGATTTTAGACTAAAAAAGTGCCGGTTATTGAACCTGTGCAATGCAAAGCCACAAACAAAGAGTCCAATTAGAGAAATGATGAACCGCCCGCGTGTTTGTTTGTTCCTTGTTTCAGAAGTTACTGTGTTTTGGGGCTTTTGCAGACACCATCATCTCGTTTGATTTAGTATTCCCTCACTGCTCTTTCAGCTGTTCTGTGCGTCTCTCTCTCGTGTTTCATGAGCTCTGTGCTGTTCAGGGTCTCGCTCTCGTAATTGTCTTTCTCTCCTCCTTCAGTTCTTCAGTCGTTCTTCTCTCAGCTGTCCTCAGGAACATTTTGCTCCATCTCTCTCTCGCTGTAGTGCTCCAGAGAGTCTATTAGAGCTTTCCTGCCACTGATTATTGGGTGCTTTTCACAAGTACAGTCATCACAAACTAGCACTCCAGTCCAGTCCTGAGCAACACGATGAGGTTACAGAGAGGACAACAGGAGAAGAACAGCGTTATTAAGGACAGGATTTACCGATTTATATCATGGGATTAGAGTAGATTGTCTTTAGATCAGATGAACTTGAATGTTATGTTTTTGGTCTCTAATATTCATTAGATATAATGGAAAGCAAACTGGTTTATCTATTTTTGGCCTGGTTTAGATCAGGTCATGTTCAGTTTGGACAGGTGAGAGGTCAGTTAGCTGGTATCACTGATACAATACTGTTTAAAAGTTTGAGATCGGTATGATTTTAATTTTTTTTTTTTTTAAGAAATGATTCCGTTTATTCAGCAAGGGTGCATTAGATTGATCAAAAGTGGCAGTAAATGTTTCAAAAGATTTCTATTTCAAATAAATGCCGTTCTTTTGAATTTACATAAAAAATATTAAACCGTTTTTATCATTGATAATAATCAGAGATGTTTCTTGAGCAGCAAATCAGCATACTGTATTCGAATGATTTCTGAAGGATCATGTGACACTGAATGATGCTGAAAATTCAGCTTTGAATTTGCAGGAATAAATTAGATTTTAAATTACCTTCAAATTGAAAATGGCTGTTTGAAATTGTAATAATATTTCACAATTTTTCTGATTTTTACTGCATTTTTGATCAAATACATGCGGCCTTGGTGAGCAGAAGAGACTTTTTTCAAAAACATTAAAAATCTTACCGACCTCAAACTTTTGTGATTCTCCTCATTACATCCCAGAATTCCCAGCTCCATGTTTGTCTCTGCGTTTCATAATGATATGACAGCAGCAGCATGACATTGCTTATTGTTTTCTGGGGTTTAGTAGCAAACATCTCATAACAGCTCCATGAAAACACACAAAAAATTCAATATTAACAGGTTTTTTCTCTTTCTTTCTTCAGGTGCAGTCACGATGCAGCAGCAAAGAAAACATCTTACGAGCAAGTATGTTTCTTCATTAAATTACTTTTCTTGTGTTTGACCTGCGTATGATTATGAAATATCTATGTCTCTGAGTGCTTTTCCGATCTCTGTCTATATGACTTTTCAGTTTGGTCACTTGTATCACAAAACAGACTTTTAACAGAATAAAGTCTGGTGCATATTTTTTCTTCATGTGTGAACAAATTACTAGAATGCGACTAAACAAATCAAGAGAAGCCAGCATCTAAACTCCACTAAATTCTTGTTTTTTACTGATTGATTTTTATTTTACTTTAGGGGATAAATATTCAGCACAGTGGAAACAAAGTAAAATAAAACAATTCTCTGCACTAAATGTAAATAGTAGTTAATAGAAATAGTATTTGCACCTCAGTGTATTTTTTTTTTTAAACAGTATGCAATAATAATATCATATTCAGTGCAGGATTGTTATAGTTAACTAAAACTATAAAAATGTTACTTGGAATATATTACATTTTAACTGAAATAAAATAAAATTAATTTAATTAAAAAGATACATTTTTATAATAATAAAAACTATATAGACATATTTAAAAAAAACTATTAAAAATAACACACAATTAAACAAAACAAAAATGAAAACAGAAAATATAAAAATAAAAAATAATTCAAAATATTAATAAAATCTAAATGATCTCAATGATACTAAAATAACACTTATTCACTGTATATAGTTATATTTATTAAAAATACAAGCTATTTAAAAAGATAGATTAAATAGACACGCCGTAAATATTATGTAAAAGAAACGTCATTCAGTTTCTGTATTTTCTGTCATATTTATTATCGTAAAATTATATGACAAAATACAGCCTCTTTATATATTGGGATCTCTAGATATCAGCATCAGACACAAGACAAACCCACATCAGTTGAGCTTTACTTTTGTACTGTATATATGAAGTGTTGAGGGTTGTGTGTGTGTGTGTGTGTGTGTGTGTGTGTGTGTGTGTAGGTCATAGTGCGGTGTTCCCTCTCACCTCTGTGGATAAAGCCTTCATCACTGTGCTGGAGATGACCGCAGTTCTGGGCACTGAGATCATTAACTACAGAGGTACAAACACATTCTGCATTGACTGTTTACCTTTCCTTCTGTCTTTCTTTTAATGATTTATTCCGTTTAAAGCATATTTTTGGATTCTGGAAGTGAATCCCAGTGTGTGAGATGTAGATCATATCAGTGTGTGTTAATCTGCTGTGATATTGATCCTTCTGTAATCTGATGATAGCTTCTTATCTTCAAACCATGTGTGTGTGTGTGTGTGTGTGTGTGTGTGTGTGTGTGTGTGTGTGTGTGTGCGCAGTGACAGAGGAACA